GGAGCGGCGGCTGCTGGCCGTCTACACCGGCGGCAGCATCGGCATGCGGAGCCTCCCGCCTTGGCCGCGACTCGGAGCCTCAGGCCCTTCACCTGTGCCGCGGCGGAGTCAGTGAGAACCGCGTCTGGAAGCGGCTCAGCTGTGCGGCCCGGAGTGGGGTGGGCTGGGGGTCGTTCCCGTCTGTCTCGGCTTTTCCGAGGTCCCCCCCACCCCCTAAGAAGCCCCCTCGTGGCCGAGGTGGCTTCCCTGCCCTGGAAGCGAGGAGGGAGGACGCCCCGGAAGGACCTCACCTCGATGGCTGCTCCGTGCCAGCGCCCTGGGTACTCGGGGACACAGCCCGTGCGTGTGCCGTAGCTGGCAGCCCTCAGGGCGAAGCACCTAGAGCCCTGGAATGTGCGGCTGGGTGGGGCCCCCAGAGCATCTGTCTGTCCCTGCTTCCCTGGACAGACAAGCCAGTGGGAAGGCACTAGGGGGATGCTGAGGACCCCTTGCCAGGGACAGCGGAGAGGCTGCAACATGCCCCGCCCGTTCTCTGACCTCCCTGTGGTCACAAACCCCCTTGGGCCCTGGCTGGGCATAGATCACCTAGGACAGCCAACACTCGGACACCTTTGGGTCCTGTGCGTTAATGTGTGTGCAGGAGGTGGCTTCGGGGACTCGCAGCGTTTTGTTTTCTCTGCCCCTCTGCGCTGGTCACACGAGTGACTGTGCCCAGCTGGGCTCTGTCCACATGGGTGTACAGGCCTGGCCCCTGCATTTCTGAAAGAGGCTGTGAGGTCTCTTCAAACAAGAACCTTCGACGCTGGAAAGATGGGCCCGGGGTGGGGCGTGGACGTTCAGACAGGATAAAGTCTTCTCGGGTGCCTAGGAGCGTGCTCTGGCCTGGGTCTTTAGGCTCCGGTGAGAGACCGAGGTTGGCGGGCATCTGTCCGTGCTCTGAAGCCCCTTTCTCGGTGTGGCCTTCACCCTACCTGGTGAGCTCAGAGCAGCCAGCCAGTCCCAGCCACAAAGACGTTGGTCCTCCAGCCCTGGTGGAGGCACAGACTCTGTTGTCACAGGAGGCAGCTCCCAGGGCAGCAGCTCCGCTCACCTGACCAGCTGCTACCCGAAGGAACCGGTGGCTCAGCCACAAGCCTTCGTGTGACCTGCGGTCAGCCCTGCTGGGCTGCAGACCCTTCTCTCTTCAGAAAGGCCGAGGGAACACATGGGTTTGTTTGGCCCCCAGGGGGTGAAGGAGGAAGAGACATGAGACCTGGGAGGGGGATGACACCCACACATGGAGCAGCAACGGGGCTGGGGTGCCAGGGCCGCTGGAGACCAGGGAGGCCCCTCAGGCCTGCTCCCGTGTTTGCATGTGTGACCAGCGGTCAGTTGTTCTCCAGGAACTTGGAAATTGTGCCTGGGAACCGTGATGTTTTTTTGCCTAAAAACACGTGAATTGAAAAGGCTTGCAGGAAGGAGGGCAGCACCCGGGGCCAGGGAAGAAGAGCTTGGGGGCTGGGCTCTGCAGCCTCGGCAAGCCCCGGGCCTTTCCATGCCCGCTAAAGGGGATGTTGACCCGGTGTCTGCGGGCGCTGCCACCTGGAGTCCCGACTCTGACAGGCATCAGTGATTAACTCACTTGGCACTGCTCATGTGGGCTTGACCTCCCCACGAGGGGTGGTGACAGGGGAACAGTGGCTTCGACCAGAGCAAAGCTGTTTGGATTGTCACTGTTGTGACAGTTTCTGCGTCTGCTGGTGAACAGTGGCTGCAGGGCAGGGCGCACCACGTGTCACGGAGGGCAGAGGTGGATGGCGGCAGGGACAACCCCGGCCCATCCCTTCTCCGAGTTCAGCGAAGGTGTCACAAGTCAAGGAGTGTCAGGAATCCAAAAAACAGCCAGTAATCTCAAGTCCTAGCTCAGGCCAGCAGCAGCGGCCACGCTACATTCAGCTGAGGAACCCAAAGGCCTCCTGTGTCAGGCTGCGGCCCTGCCTGCTCGCCCCCCTGCCCGGAAGTCCCTCGTGATCCCAGCTCCTGGCCTGCATGGCAGGGAGACCAGAGCTGTGGGGCCAGGTGGCTGACAGTGAGTCCCTGCCTGCTGGCCGTGGTGGGTCAGTGGCTGAGCCTCATCCATTGGGGTGATGCCCATGGCTGCTTGGTCACTGCAACATGGCATCTGCACTCTGGCCTGCACCTCCTGAATGTGGTTCCACACGTTCCCACATTCACATCCTAAGCCTGACTTGGGCAGTTCCAGGGGATCCGCTGGCTAGTGAGCAAACCCTCCCTTCCAGGTGAGCACGTTCAGCAGGGAGCTGAGAAGTTCCTGGGCCACCAGTGAACTCAGTTACCTGCCTGTGGGGCCCCAGGCAGGGGGCAGGTGGCTTGGGTTTTGCAGGGCCTGAAGCTTTTGGGGGGCCCTCATTAAGAAAAGTGATACAATTTACAAAATCAGTTAGCTTTGAATGAGGATATTTACTTAGAATGATAAAAGAAATCACAACAAATTACAAACTGTATAAGGCCAAGAATATTATGAAATCCAGAAGAATGTTTTTGTAAACATCCTCACCCTCGTTCATGGCTATTTCCCCACATTTTTTGGTGGCAGCTTTCCATGCTCTTGTTGCGTGATAACGTGGCTTGCACCGAGCTGTCCCCACCCCCAGGCCTACTGCTGTCCACCCAGGGGTCAGAGGCGGAGACTCCTGCCCCCACCGCCCCACCATGCCCCATGGGACAGGCAGAATCGTGGCCCCCAGAGATGTCCACGTCCTCACCCAGACCTGTGAACGCGTGACCTCACAGGGCAGAGGGACTCTGCAGATGTGACGAGGGTTACTGACTTTGAGATGGGAGGTTATCCTGGATTATCCGAATGGGCCCAATCCCATCACAGGAACCCTTACACATGGAGAACTTTCTTGGCTGGCTACAGAAAAGGAAGGCTGGGGAGATGAGGCCAGAGAGGTCTGGCTTTGAAGATGGAGCAAGGGGCCACGGCCTGGGAACATGGGGGACTCTGGAAGCTGAGAATGATCCCTGATGGACAGGCAGTGAGGAAACTTCAGTCCTGCACCCCTTGGAACTGAATTCTGCCAACCCCTCGAGCAAGCTTGGACAGATTCTCCCCCAGAACTTCCAGTAAGGAATGCAGCCCTGCTGACACCTAAGCCGGACCCCTCACCTCCAGATCTGGGAGATAAAAGGGGGTGCTGTTTTATTGCTGAGCTCATGGTCATTTATTATGTGGCAATAGGAAACTGATCTGACCAGCAGAGGCAAAGGCTGGGGACCACATTGATGCCCAGAACTGGCCACTGACTGGTCCCGAAGGTCTTATGAGTTTGTTGAGGATGCTTCTCTCGGGGGGACCCTGCTGTCCTTGCTGCTGTGTCCTGGTGCCCAGGCTCGTGAGAGATGCTCAATAGAACATTGACAAGGGGTGAATGTGCTGAGAGGTTAGCCAACGTGTCCAAGGTCACAGAGCTAGTAGGAGGCAGTGTGGGACAAAGGCCAGGACTTGGATCGAGAGCTCTTTCTGGGAGCCTTTGCTGAGGGGTTGTTCGTTGTTCAGGAAACGTGACTTTTTGAGGGTTTTCTTAGGACAGGGTGCCATTTCTGCTCAGTGCCCTCTTAGATGCATGTTTCTGAGCTTCAGAGCCTGCAGGCAGGTGGCAGAGCTGCTGCTGGTGGGGCCAACCTAATGGCTGGGGGAGCGGGGGCAGGGGACCTGAGCTGGACTCTGGGGGAGTCACACATGGTCATAACCTCTGTGTTTTAGTCAGTTTTGTGTTGCTATAACAGAACTACCTGAGACTGGGTAATTTATAAGGAAAAGAGGTTTATTTGGCTCACGATTCTGGGACAGCTGCATCTGGCAAGGGCCTCAGGCTGCTTCTACTCATGGCGGAGAGTGGCAGGCAGCCGGCGGGTACAAGCAGATCACATGGTGACAGGAAGCAAGAGAGAGAGAGAGAGAGAAGGTGCCAAGGTCTTTTTAAGCAACGAGCTCTCGCGGGAACTAATAGAGCAAGAACTCACTCATTTATTCCCCCTCCCCCAGGGAGAGCATGAATCCATTCATGAGGGATCCACCCCCATGACTCAATCAGTTTCCAACACTGCCACATTGGGGATCAGATTTCCACATGAGTGTTGGAGGGGACAACACATCCAAACTCCATCACTCTGGGAGCTCGAGGGCCAGTGAGGGAGCATGTGGGAGGTCACTATGGCCTGGTTATCAGTGGGAGCTTCCTGGAGGTGGTGCCATGAGCTTGAAGCACCTGTGGGGTGAGAAGTGGGGGCAGGGCAGAAGGACTTTCAGGCAGAGCCAGCAACACATCCACAGGGTAGAACAGTGGAAGCATGTGGCAGAGTTGTGAGGGGACAGAGGCTGGAGGGGGCCAGGGACCCCTGAGTCTTAGTCCAGAGTATGGACGTATTTGGAGATGGGGGTGCACCCAGGCAGAGCTCGGGTGGCTGTCAAGGTGCAAGACAGGAGTAGGCTTGGCTGCAGAGGAGGCGGCCATGGCTTCCAAACGGGATGGCCATCCATCCTCTGGAGGATCCTTGTGGCAGCTGTAGCCTTGTCCTCCCACGCAGCCCAGCCCTGGTCCCACCCCCCGCCCAGGGCCTGGCCCCCAGCAAGGGAGGAAGGGGGTGTGTGGCTGTGGCAGCTGGCTATGGCTGCTGGCCCCTGACCCCACACTCCACCTGGACTGTGCCTGCAGTGCTCGTCCCTGGGAGGGGTCTGGCTGCTGTCTTGAGGACACTGCCCATGTTCCACGACGAGAAGCAGGCCTGGGCATGTGGACTCCCCGAGGACACACTGGTGCTGCAGTGAGTGTGGGCCCTCTGGGGGTCCTGGGCAGGGGCGTGACTGCTGGCTGTTCTGGGGGCCCATGTGGCAGCCTCTGGGTCCGAGGGGCAGGCTCTGGTTTCTCAGCACTTTCATGCGAGTTGTTTACACAAGGCCATCCTTACTTTCCCGGGGCTTTAGAGCTGACCAATGGCCGCCTTCCACTGGAGCCTGAGCCTCCTGCCACCTGGGAGGAGGGCAGGGCCTGTGGACTGCAGGTGGGCCTGGTCCCATCTGTCCTCCCCCAACCCCATGCCGCCTGAGTCCCTGCTAATGTGAACTGGGACAGAGGTAGCAGCCTTAAGCAAGCATGAGGAGGGTGCCCTGTCTAGGGACCGGGCCCATCCAGAGAGTCTGGCTGGCCCAGGTTCCTCATCCTCCCCAGCACGGGGGCTCTGGTCCCAGCTGCCTGGAGCCCTTTGCAGCTGGGAGGCTGAGCTGGGGGTGGCCCTTGAGGTTCACCTTCCCGCAAGCGGCCTCCTCCCAGCATCGTGGGCTGGTCCCAGCCTCCTGCTCAGAGCTGGTGTGGGAAGGTGACACTGTTCGGGAACAGCCTGTCCTGGCCCATGTCTTGGCATCCTCTTGGGGACCACGGCCCCTGCCCCTGGGGACTACAGGTGGAGGGGAGGCAGGGCCTGTGCTCAGGATGCTGAGAGCTTGCCCATGCCCAGAGCCCACGACATGCAGGGGGCTCCAGGTGGACTAGAGAGCAGCAGAGGTGGAAGCAGGAGGTGGGGCAGTATAGGAGCTGGCTGTTCTGGCCCCCACTGCAGCCCCACCAGCCCCGATCAGAGGGTCATCTGCAGGGTGCTGGAGTGCCACCCCCTCTTTGACTCCAGTGACATGACCATCAATGAGTGGGTTCAGATAGCCCAGACCATAGAGGTAGTGGGGCTGGGGGCGTGGGTGGGGCAGGGGAGCATGGTGGGGCTGGGGGCATGGGCTTGGCTAGCAGGAATGGGTGAGGCTGAGGCATGGGCAGGGTGTGGGCGGGGCTAGGGGCTGGGCGGGACCACGCTGCAGAAGCACTTTGGAGCAGGTGAGTAGAGTGGGTCTGTGGTAGGGTTGGCTTGCCCAGCCTGAGGCCTGGGAGCATCTGGGAATGATGGCTTCAGGGAAGGGCTGTGTCCTCGGGTCGCCCCCCAGATGCAAGGCTCTGAGGTCCTTTCCCCCTTTCTAGCAGAGCATGGGCATTGCAGGCCAGGTCCACTTTCCTGATGAGGAAACGGCTGGACAGCTGTCCTGGTTTGTGTGTACAATTGGCTTGTCCCAGTTAGTATGTGGGGTGGTTTCCCGAGACTGGCAAGCTCCACATGCTTGGCCCACACCCAGGTCCCCTGCCCCAGTTGCAGTCTTGGTGGATTTAGGACTGCAGAACCACAGAACCCCTGTGAGGGTCTCGAGTGTGGACCCCTTACCCTGCAAGCAGAGCGGGGGCCCCACCCCCGCCCCAAGCTTTTCTCCTTCATTCTCCCCCACAGCCACCATGACGGCCGCAGCCCCCCGTGCAAGCCGGGTCTTGCTCCCCTGTTACCTCAACTGCCTCCCGTGGGCGGGGGGCTCTCCCATCCCGTCCAGTCCCAGTTCCCACCTGCATCCCTTAAGAACCCCTGCTCCCCTCAGTGGGATCTTTCAGGATCTCCCTTCCCAGCAGCCAAGCGCACCAGCTCCACCCAGCCACGTGCTCTTCTCCTGCCTGGGGGAGAACAGCTTCCTGGGCCTCCCCAACCCCCTCTCCTTCCCCTACCCCCTGCCCCATGAGCTTCCTGGGATAGTGTGCGACCCTGGGTTTGTTTCCTGTGTCCTGGGATGGGCCCACCAAGGGCACATCTGGCCCGGGCCATGGTGGTCCAGGGCAGTCTCCCCTGTTTGTGGCTGGCAGTGCCCACTGGGCCAGGCCCGACTGCTTCCTGAGGCCCGGTATAGTGCCCTGCAGTCCTTGCTGCAGGGTCCTGCCACCTGCCACCTTACAAAAGCCTTCTCAGCCCGGTTGGCTCTGCCTGAGGCCATGCTCCAAGTGGCCAGCAGAGGGCGCCGCTCCCCACCATAGTCCCTCCGTGCAGTTGCCAGGCCAACCAGGCTTCGTCTTTTAAGGGACCGTGAGGGAAGGCCCTCTCCAAGGGGCCTGGGCGTCGTGTGGGGCCCTTGGCATTCAGAACTGTGCCTCTGCAGCCGCATCCTGGGCCAGCTGCCCTCTGAGGCACAGCCTCACCGCCCTCCAGGAGGTGGTGGCCAGGGGATATCCCTGCATGGCCAGCCTTGTCCTGCTGCACTGGCCAGCATGCCCGGGAGGGCTTCTAGCTTTTGCCCTACCTGGAAGGCCCTTCCCCCGTGGGCTCCCAGCAAGTGGCTGTGCCTTGACCTTGCAGGTGTTCTGCCTTGTGCCCACTGTGTGTGTCCTGCAGGTGGCAGGAGCCTCCCACTGGACTGCAAGGCTGCTCACCTCCCAGGCTGCCTGCTGCCCTTGAGGCAATGGGCGCTCATCAGGGGCTCTCTCGGAGCCATGGGCTGAGTTCTGGCGTGGCCCGCGGGCTGAGCAGCCTCACTGGGCATCCCTGTCTGTGGTGCCGGGCGGGGGGACGCTGGCTGGGAGTCTGCGGGGCGTTCCTCTCCTCTGGGAATGTCCAAAGGCCCCTCAGGCCTACGTCCACTCATGCTCTGAGCGAGGCACAGAGCTGCAGGCTCACCCGAGAGGGCCTGGGACAGCGGCAGGGGCTGGCCTTCTGGAGGAGGCCTTCTGGGCCTGTAGGGGACAGGGTCCCACCAGCGCCTCCCCGAGTCCGTTCTCTGCATCCGGGCGATCTTCTTTCCTTTCCTGGTGGTGGAGGGAACAGGCTGCCAGCCCAGCCCCGGTGCGCCCCGTCGAGGAGGAGGCTGCCCCGAGCCCCGGCGCCTCCTGCGGCAGCATTGCGAGCGCCACTGCGAGCGCCATGGCGGCTTCGCGGCCGTCCTTGGCACCACGCCATGGCCTTCGCCGCCTCGGTACTCTCCTTCCTGCTCGGAACCTTGCACGAGACTGCCACCCTCACCGGAGCCCAGGTAGCCTCGGGGCCCAGGCTTCTCGCGGTGAGGGATGCCTGAGGCCACAGGGCCAGTCGGTGCGGCGGGGGCCGAGGCGGGACCCCGGTCTTCTCGCTGAGTCCAGCAGCTCCCCGAGGCAGCTCCTGCTGCGCCTGTGCCGGCTGCGGCTCCTGGACGCTCCGGTCCTGCCCAGGTGCCAGCACTGCCATCCGCTGGGGTCGGGGCCCACGGCCTGCCGACCGCCTCGTTGAACTGCGAGGCCCCGGGAGCTGCCAGAGCCCGGCCCCGACTCAGCCCTGGCAGCGTCCTTTCCTCTTCTCTGTGATGGGCCTCACGTCTGCTGCCCACAGCGACCGCCTGACTCAGCACAGTGGCTGTGCCCGGGGCAGGTGCCCGGGGAGGCCCGGTCATCTCCCCGCCTTGTCCCTTTCTTTATTCTTCCTGCTGTGGTTTCCACTGATGCCATCCTCAGGGACCCTGGCACATGACACTCCCTCCTCTCTCTCACCCTAACCTGCCTGCAGCTAATGGAATGTTCTAGAACACTGCTGGACTTAAGGGGAGGTGGCAGGGAAGGTCTGGACCCCCATCAGGGCCCACTGGAGGTTGACTCGGGATCCCTATTGCCCATGGGTGTCTTCACAAGTGCAAACCCCAGTGGCCATTGGGGCCAGTCCTACCCCAGCCCCTGGAGGTCCCTCCTGATGGGGCAGAGGCCAGGGTCTTTGTGTGGGAAGCCAGTACCTGTGTCCTCTCAGACACAACGTTGTGGAAGCTCCAGAAAGCTCCAGGGACGCACTCTTGCCAGGTCTGCCAGTGCTGTGCCCAGGCTGCTTGCCCGGCGGGTCTCCCTGGTCCCCCAGAGGGTCTTGCGGTGGGATGGCCCCACTCAGGGCCCACTGCACACACCTGCCGTCTGTGGAGCACCTCCTGCTCCGGCCTCCCTTCCCCACACCAGTCCCTCGTCTCGGAGCTCATGTAAGATGGCCAGAGCTGGGCCTGACTCTCCTCTTCCAGACCCTCCTGAGCCCTGGGGAAGCGGGACGCATTAGTGGCGTGTTTAGGAGCACTGCAGGCCCCAGGAGTTTCCACATGTGTGATCTTCTAATACTCACTTGGCCTGTAGTGAAGTATCCATATCCCTGTTACACCCAAGGGGAAACTGAGGCTCATAGGCCAGGGGCTCTCACACCATCATAGACCATGTGAGGGGCAGACCTGGGGGGAGGACCCATGACTGCCACCCCAGGCCAGAACTCTGCCTCCAGAGGCTCTGCACTGACCATTGCCCTGCTGGCCACTCCCCGGCTGCCCCTCCTGAAGACCCTGGCCCCTGCACACTCACAGCAGCCCTGCCCATTGCACCCTCCTGGCTAGGGGTGGTGGGGAGCTGGGCACTGCCCTCCACAGTCAACAGAGGCAGCTGAGAGACACAGCTGGACTGTGTCTGGGCATTGCTTAGGAAGTTTCTTTCCACTGCAGCCCACCCACCCATCCCCCTTGGGCCACCCTCTGCCCAGTCCTCCATCCCACTAGGGTAGTGAGGAAGCTTCACTGGGCAGCCACGTGGTCCCAGAGCAGAGGCCAGTGATGTGTTCCTCCCAGTGTGGGGACAGGTGGCACTTGGCACTCAGACCTGCTGGGGGAGCAGAGTGGGGGCGCTGAGGCCCTGGGTGCAAGTGGCATCTTGGCGGGGAGCACTGCTGTTGGCCTTGGAGGCGGGCTGGCTGCCCACCTGCTCTGAGTGGCTGCGTCTCCCACGCCGCCCCCTGCCCACCCACGCCTGCCCCAGCCCTGCTCTCGCCCAGATCCCCGCGTGGGGGCTCCTTGGCTCAGCCTGAGGGGTTTGCCTGGAGAGCTGAGCTAGATCCTCCTGTGCTTCCCGGACCTGAGCCCCTGCCTGCGGCCTGTCCCCCAGGTGCCCATCCATACCTTGTGGAACGATGGCTGTGACAACCTGCTGGGGGCTCTGCTCATGGCCGCCCAGTACATGATCCCAGAGGTACCTGGCCCGGCCTCTGCAGGGTAGGCGGGGGGGCTTGGTTGCGTGGGTCAAGGGTGGAGCAGTGGGTGGCAGAGCCTGTGTGCTCCCGAGGAGTCCAGATGGGGCACAGCCACTGTCCCAGACCTGGGAAATTCAGAAAGCAGAAGGAAACAGTCATCCCAGCCTTGCTCCTCAGTCATTAATAGTTGGGAGTAATTTCTTCCAGATTTTATGGTACACGCGTACATTTGTATTTATAGATTCGTAGTAAGTTTCTATAAAAATAGATGGCACCCAACTGAGCTTTGACTCGGTTGTTGTCCCCTTCACCACCTCTCCCTGTTTCGTGTGGAGTCGTGGGAAGACGTTCACAAAGACTCCCTCCCCCACCACACCAGGGACAGGAGCAGAGCCCGCTTCATCCCCGGGGCAGGGGCTTTACCAACCGCAACATTTTCAGGCCCTGTCTTGCTGCCCAAGTCTCACACCAGTCCCTCCTCGGGACAGCTCCTGAGCAGCCCAGAGCCTGGGGGCAGGGACTAGAGCCGCCACCCCGGCTTCCAGGCTGGGCTTACAGGGACTCGTGCTGGCTGTGGGGAGGGGTCTCCGGAATCACTGCGCTCTCTGCACCTTTGGGCTGAGTTCACCAGGGGCTCCCTGAGAAGCAGGGTGCGGGCGGTGGGCAGGTGGAGGGGAGGTGAGCGTGGCGCCCTCATGACACCTGCCACCCGTATACCCTGTGCCCGTGTCTCCCTAGCCCCTTGCAGGCTCTGGATTTGCCTGTAGGTGGGTGGCAGGGCAGGAAGGGGTCTGGGAAGAGTAGTTGTCTGCAGCGCCTACTGCTAGGAGGGTCTCTGCCTGCAATGGGTGGGTTTACAGTCCACCCTGCCCTGGATCTGGGCGATCCTGCTGATGTCAGGGAGGAAGTTGGAGGGTGGCCGGGGCCCCAGACAGGCCTGTCCCAGTTCTGAGCTGCCACCCCTCCTTCCCGCAGGTGTCTGTTCTTTCAGAATCAGCTGTTTCAGGGCAACCAGGTGACCAAGGTGGATGCCCAGAGGTTCGCGGCCTTCTGCTCCCTCAACCTGACCCCTCCTGCCACCCTGGGCGCTGATGTCACAAGTAAGCCAAGCCTGATAGCAGGGCTAGCTGGCTGCGGAGCCAGTGCCAATGCCCTGCCTGTGGCACCTACAGGAGGTTGTACGTGGGGCTTCAGTGGCCGGGGTGGGGGGTCCCCCTCAATTGGGAGAGGCAGCGCAGCACTTGGTGCTGCCCTGGGCGGTGAAGAAGCCAGAGGTCGGCTTGGAGAGGGTGGGCCAGGTGGGCTGCATTGCTGGGGAAGTGGGAGGCCTCAGCAGATCACTGCAGGCTCCGAGCTGGGGGCCTGCAGGAGAGGTTTGGGGGATCCGTCCCTTGTGCATTCTGCCTAGGTGTTCCTCTCAGCAACTGTCTCTGGCTCTGCTACACACCTCACCCTCTCTGGGACATGGCTCCTGCAGTGTAACCTCGTCCCTGTCCTCTGGGCCTGGCAGACAGCCCAGCCATCCTTGTGGGGCTGACCCATGTCTCAAGCTGCCCCTGGGGAGGCTGTACCCCCCTTACCCTGGCTATAGGAGTGGCCTCGGACCTTGTGATCAGGGACCGGTGCCCTGGGCAGGCTTTGTGGCGGCTCGGGGCACCCTCATGGCCCCCAGGAGAGCTGCTCCCAGGACCACTGTCTCTCCATCCGGATGTGCTGTTTACGCTGCTAAGGGACTCCGCCTTCCTGGACTCTGGGCCAGCTGTCTCGTGGCCTCTCCCCGGCCCCCATCCCACTCCAGGTCCCCGGCAGGCTCCCACCCAGCCTGGACACCCCTTCCTGGGACAGGCAGGAGCATCTGCCCTCTCCTCCTATGAGGTGGGTTCTTGGAGTGGCCTTGCTGTCTGCCCTGGGCCCCAGTGTTTAAGGGGCAGCCCCCAAACTTGCCCTGTGTTTCATTGCTCCCTGACCGAGGTGGGGGCCAAGGCACTGGGGCGTCTGTCCCCAGGGACCTGCTCCCAGGGAAGCCTGCCTTTGGGGGGGTTTTGGGGCCTTGCTGCCTCGCCAGGGGCTGGGCTCTCTGCACGGCAGGGCGGGGCCGCTTGTTCCAAACCCAAGCGGCTGGTCTCGTTTGCCTGCATGACTGTGCCGCGTCCCAGCCCTTCAGAAGACCGGAGGTGCCCCCTCGCCCACGTCGGGCTTCTGTCTGGGCCTGAGCCACAGTCGGGCATGTGGGTGGGCACACAGTGTCGCTGGGGGCTGGGAAGGGGCAGTTCCTTGGGAATCCCCTGGTGCAGCAGGCGTTGCCCCCGCCCCTTATTTTAAGGAGGAGCAGATCCTCCCAGAGTGGGTGATGGATTGTGGGCAGCCAGGGCCTTGACCTGTTGGGGGCTTCTGGAGGGTTCCCAAATCAGAGCAGGGAGCCTGAGGAGCTCCAGCATGACAGGCGGGGGAAGCTGGAAAGGGCCAGCAGGGCCAGGGCGTCCCTGGAGCACCCAGCAGAGGGCGGCTGTGCTGGCGGGGCTGTCCGTGGAAACAGATGGAGGCTGCGGGCTCTCCCCAGATGAGTGGACCAGCCGCGTGACTCTGAAAGTCCCCAGTACCCTTGGATCCCAAGAGAAGACACATATCGGAATCCAGGCATGGCGGCAGGTGGGAACTTGCTGGCTGCCTCCCATGGCCCCACAGCCCCACAGCAGGACAGGACAGGAGAAAACAAAGTTCTGTCCCAACACCTGGTTCTGTGGGAGGGAAACTGAGGCAGAGAGCGGCAGGGTCACACAGGGAGGTGTTAGCTCAGCCCTGAGTCTTGACTCATCTTCTTGGGCTCTCACCTTGCATCTGTCTTCCACCCACTGCTCACCCGAGCCCCTTCCAGGGAGTGTAAGGCCTAGGACACATCAGCGTGTCCAACGTGTGCAGCACTCCCAGGACTCTGGGGGCCGGGCAGGGGTCCACTTGCTCACTGAGGGCTAGAGCAGTCCAAGAGGCTTTTTGGAGGAGGTGGCACGTAAGCTGGTGCCGGTGGTGGTCTGGCTTGCTTGCCCGTGCCGGGGAAAGGAGGAGCGACATGGAGGTGTAGGTGGCTGCCCTCAGGCCCGGCTCCCCGTGGGGACTGAGTCACACCTTATCTGGGGCTCAGGAGTGAGCACACCAGTGGGCACACCCCTCCCAGCAGAGTATGGAGGACTTCACTCCGGATTGTAGGGCCTCTGCCAGGACCACATGTCCGCAGGGGGCACAGGACCTAGGGGAGAAGGTGCTTGTGGCGCTTGTCTCAGGCCTGGGACCGGCAGAGCAGCTTTCTCGCCGCAGAGCCAAAGGTGGCCTCGAGGGGAGGTGGCCCCCTGTCCCCAGCCCGGCCGTTTGTTTCCCTTGTGTGCGGGAATGTGGGAACCTGCGCCCCGCCTGTGCTGCCTGATGTCAGGCTGCCAGGCTGGTTCTGGCACCTGCTGTTGAGAAACCTCACGTTCTGCCCAGGGTGTGTCTGCTGGGGCCCCTGGGCATGGGGCTGTGGGGGCCAAATGAGGGCCCCGCATCCATCAGTGCAGATCCCTGCCCTCCTGAAAGCCAGCTGTGGATAGCACCCGGGCTGGGCCTTTCTTTGGGTTTTTACTTCCCCTATGGGAAGCCAGGGCAGCTGGGCTGGGCCATCACAGAATTATAGGCAGGGCCTTGGTGCCCAGAGGCTGCCAGCCACAGTTGGCATGGCACTGAGGCAGGGGTGCATGGGGACTGTGGGTCCTGCTGGGCCTGTCCCCTCCTGTGTGTACGGGGCACGTGTGCCATAGCCCTGGCTCTGGCCTGCCCTGCCGGAGCAGAGGAAGGTGGGGAAGGGGACGCTGCTGGGGAATCAGGCCACCTGGGCTCCTGCTGGCCCATCTGCTCACTGGCTGTGGGCCCCGCTGCCGCACAGACAGGCCAGAGCTGCCCTCAGGCTCTGCTGCGTCCAGCTCCGAGGCTGGGGACCACACACTCAGGCTCCTGTGCCCACTTCCCTTGTCTGTGAAGCAGGGTGACCAGAGCCTCTGCTATGGGGTTGTTAGGGGTTGGGCCAGTCACCTCGCCTGGTCACAGGCCCCGTCCTCTCTCCCTGCACTCTGAAAGTGCTGTCCCTGGCTGCAGCAGGCCCTGGGGGGCAGTGGGGACATGGGATTCCAGGGAGATGCTCCCACAAGCTCTCAGGAGGCGATGGGCTGACCTCTTTGTCTGTGTAACCCCCTCCACGCTGCAGCTGTAACTTCGGGTTCCCCCCACCGCATTATCTGCTTGCCCAGCTGAGACCCAAGTCCCTGAATTAAAGGACATCTTGCACTGCCATTGTGTGGGGCTGATTGATGCTGCAGGTGTGGGGGAGGCAGGAGGATGAGACTCTCTGCCTGGGGATCCCGCCGCCTCCCCCTCCCATCCGCAGCACGCCCATGTCTCCCATGCCCTCTGCTGGCGTGTGTCTGGAATGCTCTTCTGTGTATTATTCCGTGTGAATTGCACTGGCAGGAACAGCAGGCAGCATATGGGCTCCCATCCCCCTGTGGGTAGGAGGAAGAGCCTGGGGGGGTCCTTGGGCCCCATTCTCATCCCGGTGCTGTGGCATCTCAGACAAGTCCCTTCCCTTCTCTGGGCCTCGGTTTCCCAGAGCTGGACTAGAGGGTCTCCATGGTGTCTGCTACCCCAGCACGGGATAGGCTCGGCTCAGGGCTGCCACGCCCCAGGGGGCTGCGGGAACGGGGCTGTGTCCTCAGCACTGGGCTCCTTGGGTGAGCGGGAAGGTGGGAGATGGCTGGCGGCTTGCAGACCCTCGGTCAGGCCGACCCTCCAGGGAGATCCTCTGCAGGGCTGGATTCAAGGGGCACCGACCCCAAATATCTGCCCCTCTCCACTCTCCACAGGGCTGGAAATCCACTGTTCCCCACCCTGGGTATGGGGAGGGGGTGATGGGCACTTTAGGCCTCTAGGATTTGGGGGCGAATTGGATGAGGCTTTCTTTCTCCAACGGTGAGGGGTCCAGAAGACTCATTGACTGATTCGCTCATTCATTGACTTGATGGGCAGCGGGCACCGTAGGTGATCAGAGGGTGCTGCCCCGACTTCTGGGACCCAGCACAACAGGCTGCATGTGGTTCCCCAGCTGTGTGCCACACCTGCCACACCTGTCATCCCTCCTAGCCTTTGCACGTGCTGGATGCTGATCCCCCTTCCCTGGACATTCCTGTGCAGCCTGCAGGCTCAGCCAGGCCTCCATCTCTGCAAGGTCCTCTTGCCCCCTCACCTGGCCAGCCAAGACCCCCACCCTGGGGCCCTGTCGCCATCGTCACCTGTGTCACCTGTCACTAGTCCATGGTTCTCTCTCACTGGGCCATAAGCACCTTCTCCCCCAGGTCCTGTGCCTCCCTGCAGAGCCTGGCACAGGCCAGAGTGAGGCCAGGGTAGGAGGATCTGCCTTCAGGAAGGGTGGATGTGGGGAGACTGGCAATGTCTGAAAATGTCAGGGGGGCTGCACAGAGGGTCGGGGGCCTGGGCTGGGGTCTCTGCTGCAGGTGGCCCACGGCTCTCACACTCAACCCCTTTGTGTCGTCACAGTCAATTGGGAGCTGGTGCGGAAGGTTGACAGGGAGGACTGGCTGGTGGTGCACAGCAGCACGGAGCATGACGTGGGCCTGCTGCGCCTCTACCCTGGGATCCCCGCCTCCCTGGGAGGGGCTGCCCTGGCCCACCCTGCAGCTGCTGCCCCTGAGCCAGCCCTCCACAGCTCCTACATGCGTCCCCCCATGGCCTGTGAGTGTGTTCTCTGCAGCTCTAACACCGCCCATGGCTCCCCAGTGCCTCACCTGCTGCTTGTGACTGTGCTGTCTGCAGTTCCCATGGCCCCATGGCTCCTGGGTGCCCACACAAGCTAGTGCAGACCCCACTTGGAGCAAGGCATCTGCAGTGTGGCCCCCCTGCTGCACTTCCGCGTTGCATCACCCCAGGCCCACCTGAGGCCCAGGCACGCAGAAACTGACAATATAACCACTGAGGGAAGCCCCTCCACCCTCACATCTGAGGCTGAGCCCTTCCTGGGTGAAATTTGGCCTGTGTGAAGTGTCACGAGGACATGCACGCCTTTCCCTGCTTTGGAGCCCAATCACCTTATCTGGGACATAGGCTTGTCTGTGCAGACGCTGGTGGAGACATGGTCCCTCGGGGGCTGACTGGGGAGGCTCCAGGACTCCGCTTTTTCTTGTCACTAATTTTGGCCAGTCCTCTGCTTCCTGCCATTGGCCCCTTGCCACCAGTTGTCAGTGTGGTGGTTCCCTGTGGTCTGAGTGGAGCTCTCCAGCCTCTCAGGATGTGGGCAGAGCTGGTGCCTGACAGGGATCCCTATCTGTGTCCCTAATTACCCCTGATGCAATCTCACTCAGAGCATCCCCTGCTGTGGGTCAGATGGGGCAGAGCTGCCACCTGGTCAGGGCCTCTGGTGGCCTTTCTTCCTCTCCTGTCTTCTCTGATGTGTTCCACAGTGTTCTGAGTCCTGCTGCGCCAGGCCTTAACACTGTACAGGAAATGTCCCTTTGGGAGGACGTGGTGGGGAGCAGCCCCCTCACGTGGTCTGCTGGGAGCCCAGGTGTCTGGGGCATAGCAGGTGCCTGGCTACTTCTGGCTTGGGCCCCTCTCCCTGGGACCGTGCCGGGAAGGCCCATAGCAAGCTTTGTTGGTCTCAATTGCTGGAGCAGGAAGCAAAGGCCCTCCCCGTCCCACCTGCAGCCCACCCACCGCCCTGCAGGTTCAGACCTTCCTGCAGCCCCCCCTGAAGCGCGTGGTCATGGAGACCTTCGGCTTACGGAATGGGCCCGCCAAGCCGGACCTGCTGCAGGAGCTGTGGGCAGCGGCAGAGTGCGGCCTGGTCATTGTCAACCGCACCCACTGCCTTCAGGGGTCTGTGACCTCGGACTATGCAGCCAGCATGGTAGGGGCAGGGGAAAAAAAGCCTTGAGAGGAAGGGGGCTCTGACCCCACGTCCTACTGGCTGAGGGGCATGTTGGGGCATGGAAACCCCAGGCTGGGGGGCTGTGGGTAAGCGGCTCCTTCCCACCACATGCCCCTTCCTCGCAGGCCATGGTGGGAGCCGGCATCGTCTCTGGCTTCGACATGATGTCGGAGGCTGCCCTGGCCAAGCTGTCATACGTGCTAGGCTGGCCAGGGCTGAGCCCGGATGACAGGAAGGAGGTGTGTGGGAGGGCATGCCTGGGGTGTCACAGAGTGAGAGTGGGGCCCAGTGCAGGTGTCTGAGGGTGCTGTAGAAGGGGCAGGAATGTGGGGCTCCCCACAGTGGGGCCTGCGCTCACCCCACCCCTTGCCCGACCCTAAGCCAGGCACTGCCTGTCCTCAGGCTCTCTCTGGGGAGCTCGGGTCCTGGCACAGGCTGAGGCTCGCCAAACCATTCCCAGGTTGTCCACCCCTGCTTCCACCCCTCCAAGGTGGGGCTCGGACATGGCGACCCCAGGCCCTCAAGCTGCCAGCCCCTGGGGCTGGGCAGAGGCCGTTGCTGCTTTGGGGGACCATGAGCTAGTAGGGCCAGAGGGTAGGGGCACCCTTTTGTGGGGACCTGGCCTTGATCACAGGTGAGTTACAGGCCCAGGGCAGGCTGTCACCCATGCCCGGGTGCCTGGCCCCTTGGGCCTCTCAGTCCGGCCTTCAGTGTTCTCCTCCCCAGGCTGCTGGCCAAGGACCTTCTGGGGGAGATGACGCCACGCATGGTGGACAAGCGCTGGTCCTGGCTGCAGCTGCAGGGTCACCTGGCTTCTCAGTTTGAGTGGCAGCCAAGTACTGGCCGATGGGGGCAGGGGTGGCACGGGGGCCTGAGAGGCAGGGCAGGGCCAGGCACCCACTCGGTTGCCATGGGATGTGCCAAGCATGGCTCAGTCCTAGGGCCTAGGAAGGTTTGGGGTCCATGGCGGGAGGGTTCGCAGGGTTTGTGAGAAAGGGCCAGGGCGATTTAGTGGAGCCTTTCCAGCGTGTAGTCGGTGGTCACACAGTGGGGGCAGCTTGTCTGGGCTGCTGTCTCTGGCTGTCTGTGCAGGCCCCTGGTGCAGGGGTTGCCTCAGGAGTTGGGGAAGCTTGAACAAGATGGGACGCCACCTGTCCAGGATGCTTGGGGGTCTCCCAGGTGCTCAGCACCAGGGGCTCCAGGCCGCACACCTGCACCTGGAGATGTGGCCCAGCCTTCAAGCCCCCCTTTCCTTCACAGCTGGGGGTCTAGACCTGGGAAGGGTGGGGCAGCTGAGGAGCTGCCTCAAGGCCTCGGGTCTGTGGGGGTGATAGGGGCCTCCCTGCACCCGACAACATGTCCACGATGGCCAAGCGTGGGAGCACAGCAGGTGACAGAGAGCGTTGCTTTGGGTCCAGCCGCAGGTCCCATGTACCTCAGTTTCTCCTCTGCAGGGACAGGCCTGTCTTGGTGAGCTGTGGTGGTGTTAACTACCACTTGCTGGGGGTGGGTGATGGTCAGATGAAAGGGCTGAGGTGTGCAGCCTGTTATTAGAGTGGCTGCATGGGCCCTTTCTGCCTTGGGGCTGCCAGCCCGCCCATGGTGGCTTGGTGATCAGGCTGGGCTGTGGGTGCGGGGTGCAGTCCCTGAGCTGTGACCTCGGCCTTCTGGCATCTCGGTGAACTTCTGGACAACCAGGTGCTGGGGGCAGGTGGCCCTTCTGGGAACATGCAGACTTGTGGAGCAGGGCCCTTCTCTCCAGGGACAGGGCCTGGTACCCCGTCCCACGCTTCCGCAAAGGGTGACTTATGATTCCAGCCCTGACTGTAGGGAACACAGATAGGAAATCAACCCTAGAGGGCGGTGGCAGAGCCGAGTCACAGAGCCAGTGAAGATGGAGCCAGGGGATGGCCTTGTGTCCTAGCCTCTGCTCCCAGGGAGCGGGGATCCTAGGTGGGTCTCTGGAGGGGATAATGACATGTGAACCCAAGGCCTTTGGATCTGGCGATTGAAGCCCTTTCTCCCCACGTGTGGGGGATGGCAGGGTTCACACAGTAACCGGGCCACTAGTTCTGCTCTGCCCTTTCCCTTGGGGGTGCTGGGGACTGTAGAGTGAGGCCTGGGTCCCAGGCTTCTGCCATCCCCACTCAGCAGGCCAGTGCTGTGCACGACGCCCTGACACCCAGTCTGGCCTGTGCCGCGGCCCATGCCGGTGACCGGGAGGCTCTGCAAGTGCTTGTGGAGCTGGTGAGCTGGCCCCCTACCCTCAGGGACCAGCCTTAGCCATGCCAGGCCTGCTGTGGCCAGGACGGCCTTCATCGGGTCCCGCTAACCCCACTCAGCCCTCGTTCACCAGGCGAGGCAGCAGTGCTGTCCTGCCAGCTGGTGGGTCTCACTGCAGCTTGGGGGTGGGCACCCTGGCTGTGCCAGCCCATCCTCAGGGGTGTACCCTAACCCTTCCTGTCCCCTCTCCATGGCCTACCTGGCCCTGCCCAGCCCTCCATTAGGAGGTCAGGTGCCCTTGTGTCACTCCAGGGCAGCGACCTGAGCCTGGAGGACTTCAGTGGTCAAACCCTGCTGCACATGGCCGCCCAGGGGGGCCACGCCAGGGTGGTCACCATGCTGCTGCGGAGAGGTGTAGATGTGAACGCCCGTGACAAGGATGGCCTCAGCCCGCTGCTGCTGGCCATGAGGGGCAGATACTTGGGCAGGCGGGGCACAGAGAGGGCTGCTGGCTTGCCTGTGGTCACGCAGCCTCCCCGGGCAGAGCTGGGTGGGGCCGAGGACACCTGCTTTCTGGAGCCGTGCCTGCTCAGAGGGCTTCATGGAGGAGGTGGCCTCCCAGCTGAGCCAGGTAGGCCCATTAAGACCTTGGCACAGAGTTTCTAGAAAAGAAAAACTCTATGGACAAAGCCAGAGGGAGTCTTGGGTGTTCCCCAAGTCATCTATGTACACCTGTGGGCTGCAGGGGTGGGGGTGGGCAAGGGGAGAAGCCACAGGCTCCGCGCCGGCTGAGGCAGGTGCAGAGCAGGCTCCACAGTGGCAGACATGGGGCTGGGACAGGCACAGGTGCCCTTGAGGGCAGGCTCAGCCTGCATAGTGTGGGAGGACCCCCACCCGGCCCCACCCAAAAAACCCTGGCTTCTTAAAGGCAGGGCCCCAGCCTGGGGGATGGTATGTGTGTGGGGTGCCCTGCTGGGGGTGGGGTACCCTGAGGCCCTGGGCCAGCTGGGATGGGGTACAGCTGGTGTGGGCACTTGAGGTCTGGTCTTCAGAAGGAGGGGAGCACAGGACGCTGAGCAGAGAGAGCCAGAAGCTGGGGTCACACGGAGGCCTCTGCAGGGGTTTCCACACCTGAGCCTCGATTTCCTCACCTGCAATGTGCACAAGCGTGCGTGTGTGTGTGTGTGTGTGTGTGTGTGTGTGTGTGTGTCAGGGTGGGGGGGTCCACCTTGCTGGGTGGCAGTGCGGGGGTCCATGTTAAAGGAAAATATTCACAAGCAGGTGGTCACTGGCAAGGAGGCTGGGGACACAGCCCAGGGGACACAGGCCTTGCCTGGGCAGCTGGGCCTTCCTGCCTCTCAGCCAGGCCCGCTGACCCCTCTCCCTGGGGTGGGACCTGGGCAGCCAGCAACGAGGCCTAAGGAGTGGGTTTTAAGGCTTGAGGACACCCCAGGGCCCCCTGGTGGGGTGGGGGTGGCTCCTTTTCCCCCAGAGGCCTGGCCGGGTAATGGGGCCACCACATGCCCACTCCTGGCATCTCTCCAAGTGCTGGGCCTGGCCTGCCTCTGGCAGTTGAAACTGGGCACGAGGTGGGCAGGGTGTGGTAGAGACTCGATCCCCCCCATTCTAGGGGTCTTATATTCCCACAGGTACTGGCTTTCCAAGGTGGGGTGGGGCACACTGTGCGGCCCCTACTGGGCCTCTCTCCGCATTTCCCCGTCCCAGAGGCCAGAGCAGCCCAGACGTGCAGTGTGTGCGTGGATACGCATGTGAGCGTGTGTCTGGCATCAGCGTGTGCATGTCCTCCACGAGGCTCACTGTCGCCCTAACCCCGCCTCCCACGGGAACGCCCTGCTCACCTGTCTGATGCGCTGGCCCGGCCCTCCCCTCCCTGGCTCCGCCCAGGATTGCCCCCCCCGGGGGGGGGCACGTGGCTTGCAGGACCCTGAGTTATGTTGGGAAGGGGGTGCTCATGAGCCCCATGGAGAGAGGCCGAGGGCGTCGGAGCCTGGGGTCTCCAGATTGCCGTGTCCGGTCCTGATGTCCCTCCCTAGCTGTGAGCCCTGGGGCGGCTGTGTCGCCCTGTGTGAATGGTACTGGGCTGATGGGGGGGACCTTCTCCAGGCTCCCAGGAGGACTGAGGGATGCTCCGAACAGGACTGGCCGTGGACGGGAGGCTGAAGGGCTTGAGGGCGTGCCCAGGCACCCAGGCTCGGGTGATCTGGCTGGAGATTCCGGACTGGGTGTCCTTGGGCGTGGGCGGGTAGTGTGGAGATGAGCTCACCTGGCCCCACCCCTTGTCCCCGCCCAATGCCCTCCGGGCTGTTGCAACCCCCCCAACCGGTCTCCTGGCCTCACTCCCTGCCAGGCTCCCTGAGGCTGCCCATCCAGCCCTGCTGCGTCCTGAGTGGCACTGGCCATCCGGCCCACCCCAGAGGGATCTAGAGGGCTCCAGAGGACTCTGCCGGGTGTGGGGGAGGCCTGGCGACCCTCTCAGCTCTTGCCCCTCTCTGCTCCCAGGCTCCCTAAAAGCGGGGTGACTATGTACTTCCCGGTGCACCCCGACACTTTGCACGGGGAGGGGCACAGCTGGCGATTGTGGCGCCATCCCTTCGCTGTGCAGCCTGGGGCCTTTGCGCATTCTCTTCCTTGGCCTTTCTGGAGCCTCCGCCCCCATCCCCAGCAGACAGCTTGGCAAGCGATGCCGCCTCTGGAAACCACTCTGGGCCCCCAGCCCTGGCATCCTGGGCCAGCCTAACTCCATGGTTTACCTTTGTCTGCTGGTGCCTCATCCCCACCTCACCCCCTGGGGCAGATTCATGGCCAGATTGACTCAGTTGCCCCAGCCCCAGGCCCAGGCTTGGTCTGAGATGTCCTGGGAAGGTGCTCTGGACAAATGGTGGGACACCAAGATGGCATCAGCGGGGCCTGGCAAAAGGTTGGAGGGATTGGCTTTGTCTGGGACCAGGGCTGTGGGTCCTGGACAGGACATCAGGCTCTCTTGGTGTCCGAGCAGAGGCAGAGGCTGTGCACGGGCCGGGCTGGGGTGGACAGTCAGCCGCTCTTTCTCATGGCAGGCATCTGGGTGTCACTGGGCTGCTTTGGGCAGCCAGGGCCCGCTTGTGCCCCCAGGAGCTGGAGGACGCAGGGACGGAGCTGTGCGGGTGAGGGTGGCCAGAGCATCTGCGCTTCAGGGGACATGGGGACAGGGCTAGAGGAAGGGAAGCTAGGCCTGCTGGGAGCGACAGGTCAGCTGAGGTGTGGGGCTCCAGAGAGGGAAGAGCCCACCCTGCACTTGGTGTGTACCAGCTTGGCCAACGGGAAGAGGGGTTTGCCCTGACCACGTTACATGGGGGTCGTTCCGGGCGAGAGAGCTGCCCAGCAAAGGTGTGTGCGTGCACATGCGTGTACATGTGGCTGCACGTGTGTGCATATGCGTGTATGTGTGTTCATGTATGGTGGGCTTAAGGAGAGCTGTGTGGGTCGGGTGGGAGAGGGGCTGGGCTGTGGGCCGGGGGTGGGGGTGAGCTCTGCAGCCCCGCCCTTCCTCAGTCCCCCGGCAGCTAGAACAGCTACCCACCCCCGCCCCTCCTGTGCCCACCCTGCATGGGCAGGTCCGAGGGCTGTGGAGTGACCTCGGTGGGGAGTCGATGGGAGAGGCAGAGGCAGGAAAAGACCTGGGCCAGAGCAGGTGGGTAGCTGGTGGGGGTTACTGGAAGTGCCTTGGGTCTGTCCCCCTGTAAGTTGGGAGCCCCCCAGGCCTGGGGAGTGGGTGATGATGGTGGAACTTCAAGGTGACTGGCTGGGAGGTGGACGCTCGGCAAGAAGAGGACCCTGAAGCTCTGGTTCCTTGTCCCCACCCCCAAGCTTGGCACCAGCAAGACTTCACTTGGCCCTGGAGACCACCAGTCCTCTATATAGGGGGTGGGGGACAGACCTCACTGGCCCGCTGCCTCAGCCCCTTCTGCTCCGATCTTTGGCGTCCCATGGGGGGACAAGTGCTGCTTGCTAATCCATCCCCTGCCCTTCTCAGCAATGAGGGGGATGAGGTGGGCGTGCAGAGGTGGTGGGAAAGGGTGGAGGACCCTGAAGGGAGGGGCTTGGGCTGACCCTGCGGGACCAGCCCACAGCCACTGGATTTCTGGGGTATCTTGGTCCAGGGCTGCAGCCCAGGTAGAACTTGGCTCTACAACAAGATAGGGAAGATGAGGCAGTAGCCAGGTCCCCAGGAGCTGGGACTAAGACCATCATCTGGGACTCTGGAAGTGGGCTCAGCCAACCTGAGCTACTTGGCTGGACTTGGGGTGTGGGAGGGGGGCCCCTCAGCCAGGCCTTCTGTGGGTGAATGTGTGGGGGGTGGGTCTCTTCTCCCCAGGCAGGCCCTTGCTGGAGGCATGGGGACAGGGGCGGGAGGGGCCGGAGGTGCCATCTAGTGTGATTCAACCCAGAGCTTGCCCCATGCTGCTGTGGGGGCTGCGGCTGATGCTTCCTGCCTAGGAGCGGCTCACTAGGGGCCCTCTGGATGAGGGGACACTGTCCCTGGCCCTTGCCCCACTGCCAACACAGCTGGCAGTGGGGCTTTCCTCTGCCGTGTCCCAGCCTTGCCCCAACCTGGCCTCCCGGGGTGAGGAGTGGCTCTTTCCAGGAGGGGTGGGAGGGTGAGGAGGATGCTGGGGCTAGCCTGAGAGGTGCTCTACACGGCCCCCAACCTTCTTCTCCAGGGCAGGTGGGCCCCCGACTCCTCTCCCAGCCAGGCAGCCCCCTGGGGTCCAGGGCCAGCCTCCACCTGGGGCGCCTCCTGTGTCCGGTTGCTTCAAACTTTCCCTCTGCCCCTGTGGGCCCCACCCCAGGGAGAGCTGTGTTGTGAAATGTGAAACTGGCACGGGGCGGGAGGGGTGTGTGTGCATCCTCGTGCATATGTGCGCACGTGTGTGTGCTCATGCATGCGTGTGCACTCCCTTGACCTGACCTGAGTCACAGTCACGCCCACTGGGTGAAACCAGACTGCAGGCCGCCCGCTGGCCCCCAGCGACTCCTGCCCCAGGGCTGGGCCCTGCTGGGTCAGCTGTTTGGACCTAGCTTTGTAAAAGCGCCCAGGGCACCCCATCGGGGGGAGGGCGGGCAGATGGGCAGATGGATGGGTGCCCAGCAGGCCCTGACGGCTCCCCCTCCACCCCCTCCCAGGCTGGCATCCAGGGCAGACAGCAAAGGCCTGCGGGCCTGGTGGCAGGCGGGGCCAACCTGGGGCAGCCGGGCTATGATGGGCGCCATGCCCTGCACATCGTGAGTGCCCCCACCTCCACGCCCTGTCCCAAGACTGCCACCTCCAAGAAGGCTGCCCTGACGGTTTTACCAGCTCCCCCTCCGCTGCCCCTCCCCGAGTGCCCAATTCCCAGGAGCGGGAAATGCCTGGCTTTCCTGGTGGACGGGCTTCACCTGCAGGAGCCCTGGGGAGCCATCCCTCTTCCCCATCATCGCAGGCCCCTCTCTGGAGCGAGGAGCAGACACACTGGGGGTCCCATGTGGGTGCGCAGGAAGGGCGGGGGTGGGGGAGGGCACTCTGTTGTGTGAGGGTTGCTGGGGGCCAGGCTGCTGGTCTGTGTCCCTGAGGCAGTGCCTCCCCATGTGCTTCCTCCACAGGCAGAAGCAGCTGGGAACCTGGAAGTGGTGGCCCTCTGCAGAGTCTTGAGGGTGGGGTCAGTGCCCAAGCCCCAAGCCCCAGGCCCAGTAAGTCCCTATCGTGGATGGGGTGACAGTGCCCCCGCCATAAATTCCCAGCCTCGTGGCTGGATTCTGGCTTGGAGAGTGTGTCTCAGAGCCAGTTCTGGGGACAGAGCCCAAAGAGGCTGGTGGGTCAAACTCGGGGGGGGGTCTGCTGAGCCCGTCCTGCGGACCACTGTGTGACACATTATTTAGGGATGGGGGAGGGAGACGGGAGTAGTCAGGCAGAGCTTCCTGAAGACTAAGACCTCCTGCTTTCTGTCCAGTCAGGCTGCCCATGAGGAGGGGCCCCAGCCATGGCTCCAGGTCCCTCTAGCATGCCCTGCCCACCCCGTTCCGTCCTGCCCCCTAGGACCCACCATGCTGAGGGCTCCTTCCTGCCTGTCTCCCAGGCCAGGCCCCCAGCTAACACCCCTATTCTCCACTTTATTATCTGGTCCTCCTGTGGAATCTCAAGGCTGGCTGGGTATGTGCAGGTCCTTGGGTTCCCCCACCCCCGAGAAAGGCTGGGCCCCAGACGGGGTGCCTGGGCATGACTCTGCCCGGCCTCCATACATTACCCGGGCCTCCACATGTTCTCAGGAGGGAGGTCCCAGGAAGCCTCCCATTTTTAGGAAGTGCTGTCTGGTGTCTAACCTGAAGCCGTCCTGCTGCAGCAAGACATCTCGGGCACTCACCCCCGGCTCTCTGACTGGATGTGCCTCTACACTGGGACTGCCTCCAGTCTGTTTCACGACAAAGCTTAAAGGTCTTTGTTGGGCAGAATGGCAATAAAGTCCTCTGGGGACTGCTGCCTCCCTGGGTCCCCAAAGCCTGGCTCCGAGTGGGTCTGGCTGGGTCCTGGGACTGTGGGTATGTGTGTGGGGAGCCGGGCCCCAGGCTCTGGGGCAAAGGGTGGTGTCTTCAACATCCTGGGGGTGAGGGGATTGCTGAGCCAATCCTGCCTGTGGCTGCCGAGTGTGGGTGTAAGCAGGCCAGGGCTGCAAGCCGGTGGCACAGGGGAGGTGACTCTGGGCAGCTGTCCCTCCTCTCCTAGCTGCCCCTCTCCCCTCCCTGCCTCCTCCAGACCACCTCTGTCCCATCGCCTTACATGTCCTTCTCATTGTTGAGCTTGAAGTCACCTCCTCCAGGCAGTCCCCCACCCCATCTGCACATTACTTCCGCTTAACCCTCGAGTCCTCACCATCCCTTCTGGGTGGCTGTCTGGTTTTCTGTCATCCGAGCATCCCATGCCCCATCCGCATCAAAGGGCAGGGGCACGCCAGGGCTCCAGAGGGGCTCATGAAGCCCATGAATTGTCAAGGGGACTTCACACTCTCTGGGGTAAGCCCCTCAGCACTGTTCAATCCAGTCCCTGATCTGCCTGGAGACCTGGAGGAACCCATCACCCGCTGTGAGCCAGGCCCCCTGCTGGGGAGGCACGGAAGAGGGGTCCCTAGTTGTGCTGGCCTGGGTGGGTCCTGTGGCGGGCAGGTGTGTCCATGGCGGGGTCCCACACCTGGTGGGTGGCTCTCCAAGGCTGGCAGCTACATGCCTTGTCAGAAGCCCCGCTGGTGCTGAAATCAGGTGTTTGGGCCCTGGCCTGTTCTTGGTCCAAACCTGAAGTGGTCCAGTGGGGCTGGGGCCATGGGGAGCCGTGGCGGCCACATCTCTCTGCCCTCTTCCCCTGGCAGCTTTGGTGCTTCCCTCACCGCCCACATGAGCATTCCTGTCTGTCTGTCTGGCCCTGAACTGGGGAGCAGCCTGAGGGCATGTGCCCAGTAGACGTTGGGTAAAATTGTGACCCCAAAAGCTGGCCCTTGGCATCCAGGTAGGCCAGACCGGCCTCCCAGCCTTCTCTACCTGGTTCCCAGGCCCTGGCTGGCTCTGCGATGGCAGCCTCCCAGCTCCTCAGCCAGCACGGGTGTGCCTGGTCCTTGCACAACCAGGTGACGCCGCACGAGCACAGCAGGCTGGGGGGCGTTTGCTCCACACCCTCATGAAGGCCTGATGTGTCGGAGTGCAGGGCCAGGAGGGCCAGAGAGCTTGAGAGCCAGGAGTCCCTGCTGTCACTGGGAGCTGGCACCCTCAGAGGGCCATGGGGGAGGCCATGGGACCATCTGACAAATGTCTGGTGGAGGTGGGGAGGGCTGAGCCCACCCCGATGTCCTCAGGTGCTCCTGCACACAGCAGCTCTCTGGAAGCTCCCGAGGGACACTCGGCACTTCTGCCTGGTCCTCGGAGCCCCAGATTGTGAAAGCTGCAGGTGGCTCATATTACCCCACATGGCAGCACCCTCCCAGTGCAGGTGCCAACCTGTCAGTGTAGATCCGCCCACTGGAGACTAGGATGAGTGTCCTGCCAGTGTAGAAACACCCAGTCATCCTGGATGCCTCATGGAGAGCACTTGCTGAGCTGGCTTTTCCCCAAGTGGGTCATCGATGGAGTTCAGCAGAGATAGCTTGGGGGCGACAGGGGGTGGGTGAGAAGCTTTGGCAGCTGGACAGATGGGGTGGGCCCCCCATAAGGAAGGGCAGCTGGACCCCCATTCTCGGGCCCGTGCACACACATGGGACGCAGAGCTCAACAATGGGCAGCTCCTGGACCAGGCGTTTTAGAACGCTGTGAAAAGTCCCAGGCACATGTCTGGGAATTTCTCAGGGGCCACTTTGTGTCCCTTGGGGAGAGGCCAGGCTGGCCCTGGGTAAGTCAGATCCCCCGAGAGTCACCTGAGGCAGGAGAAGCAGGAAGTGTGCGCTCTGGGCCCCCTGGCTCTGTGCTGGGCAGTGGCTTGCCTCCCCAGGCCTCCGAGTCCAGTGTAATGGGAACAGCTAGGACAGGTGACCATCCTGGAGTGCTCACATTCTGCCAGGTAGTGACTCATTTCATCCCCGTGGTGCCCCTGAGGAGGGCACTGGGTCATCATCCTTCCTGTCTTACAGCTGAAGAAACTAAGGCACTGAGCGGGCCTGTCCTGGGCCCAGGGTTACCACTGGCACACGGCAGTGCTCGGCTGCGACTCCACCTGGCACCAGGACCAGCTCCTCATCTCTGGACGTGGTGTGAGGCTGGGGAGACTCAGGAACAAGGCTTGGCCCTGCAGTGTGAGACACACGTGGGAGGCAGCCTGAGCCCTGGGGGACCCTGAGGGACGGGACTGCACAGGAGGGCGGCGCTGCCTGCTAATTTTGCTCTGGGAAGGCCTCGGTTCCCACAGCCCATCTTGAATCACCCAGATCCCAGGACTATCTCCGGGAAGCATCTCCCTTTCATCGTGGCCACTATCTATGATTTCTTGGCATTTTCTATCCTGAAATCAGACTCCTCAGTTGAGGGCCACCCCCACCCCCGGCTACCACGGATTTCTCTTGCATCCTAGGAAGTTCCCCTTCTGGTCCCATCTGCCATGTGTTTCCTGCTGCAAGTGGGAATGGGGACTAGGAGAGGTGGGCTCTTCCAGCCCATTCAGTGGTGGGGGTGAGAAGTGGGGGGATTCCCGAGCTCCTCTTCTCAGTCACAGGCCTCTGTCTCCCCGTAGCCCCCAGCACCTCTGACTTTACACACAGATGCTCGGACTCCCAGACTCAGCAGAGATGCCAAGGTGTGGAGTTCCTTGACCCCCAAAAGCTAGCTGTTTAACCTCCGAGAAGTCATTGACCCTCTCTGAGCCTCAGTTTCCCTAAATTCAAAATAGAAATAATAAAACCTTTACATTCACTTTACAGAGTTGTTGCAATAGTTAAACGACACGTAACATATGTGAAAACATCTAGGGGTCCGTCACAATTTGGTGGCTGTGTCCTGAGCACAGAAAAGGCTGGTCTCCCTGCTTGCTGGGTTGTGTGTGTGTAGCTGCCCTGGTCTTGAATGGATTATGACCATCCGCTTGCTGCCCACCCCGTGCAGACGCACCAGGGGCTTTAGGGTGACCTTCTCTAGTTCCTAAAGCCCGAATCCCCCTCGCTAGCTCCCATATCCCTGCAATGGGCAGCTCCCCTGAAACGGAGTCCCGGGGAGGCTCTGTGGTCAGGCCCCAACACCTCCAGGTGACTGGGCGGGCGGGGCGCCGCCGCCTTGGGCCAGAGCACAGGGGGCTCCGCTTCGGCGTGTTGGGGGGCGCGGTGAAGGCGCTTGCTGCGGGAGGGGGCGCTGTGGCGGGCGCGGGCCTCCCCGTGTGGGGGTGGAGGGGACAGGTATGGGACCCCAGTGAGGGCTCCGGGCTGCCCCGTGTACCGCACCCCGTAAACAGGAGGCAAGGGTCTGAGAACCAGAAGCCTGCTGGGCGCACCCGCTCCCGCCCTCCGGTTTCACTTTCTCTTTATCCCCCTCTCCCGCCTCCTCCCACGAGGTTCCCTTTGAAGTGAGACCTGGCTGGGCGTGTCCAGCCCGTGGAGTGATCCGGGTCCCGAGCTCCCGTCTGGCTCTGGTCCTCCCCTGCTCGGGCCGCCCCGGGCACCGAGGCACCTCCTCGGCCCTGGGTCCCCGCGCGCCGACCCGGGGACTGCAGGTGCGCCCTGGCCGGGCGCTG